ACTTGTCATTGAGTTGATTCCAACTCATGGTTACCCCACGTGTGCCAGCAGAATTCTGCTCCATAGGGTTGTCAGTGGCTGATTTTTTGGGCCTTTATCCCAGGATGCCTCTTGGTGGACTTGGACCACCAATCTTTCAGTTAGCAGCCAAGTGCATTAACTCTGTTGTTGTTGTTATTTGCCATTGAGTCGGCCCCGACTCTAGGCTCCTGAAAATTGGATCACTTTGTCTGTTTCAGTGAAACCCAGACCGAATATTAGGATAAGCAGTGTTGAGAACTGAGTACAGAGTTCTGGGGTTGTGTGTTGTAGCTATCGTGTGAGGCCCTGTTTTTCATCATCTAGCTGGCAACTGTCTGTAATGTCTTTATTTCATCTTTAACTTGAGGGGGTCTTTGTTACTTTAGAAATGTATAACCTTTTAGAGACACACATGGGGGACATTTAAGTAATGTTGTGAGGTAGTAGCTGATTGACTATTAAAAGTAAATGCTATACTAAAGAGCAAGATGCAAAACTTCTGAAAGTAAAAAGATGAAGATGAGTGGTACAGAATGTAAGTGATCAGGATTAGAATGGTGGGAGATGTTTAGTGGTCTTTGAGCTTAGCCCTGGAGAAGAGATGAGTTGGTGATTGGGGTGGTAGTGAAAAAGAACAATAAAAGCATCATTAGTATAAGTTGAGAACTGAAAGGGAAGGGGTGTTTTCAAGGAAGATGTAGGGAAGAGGCCTTGGGCAGGTTAGTATTGAGGGCAGATTGGAAGAGAGGGAGGGTTGGGTAGACCTGGGAGGTGCCAGATGGCAGAAAACCTGACTGGACAGTTTGGATTTAGACCCATTTGCTGTGTGGAGTAGGGAGAGATTTGCATAACACCTGTTATTTATGTTGTTAGGTACCACTGAGTAGGTTCTACATGGCGACCCCTTAGATATTAATTTGTAATAATAATTGGAAATGTAAAGAAATTTTAGCTTTGGAGGACAGAATGCTACTTAAAGCAGTCTAGGTATGAGTATTTGAAGTCCAAACCTGTGGAATAGTAGAGGGACTTGAAAGAGCCAAACATTAGGAATTGAGTAGCTTTGACAATTGGAAATAAGGTAACAAGGCACATATATTGGTAAACAAAAATCCAAACCTGTTGCCATGGCGAACCCCATCAGGTTTCCAAGGCTGTAAATCTTTGTGAAAGTAGATTGCCTCATTTTCTCCTGTTGAGCAGCTGGTGGGTTTGAACTGCCTACCTTTTTGTTAGCAGCCCAAAACCTTAACCACAGTGCAATCAGAGTCAGATTCTGAGTATGAAGATGGTGTCTTGAGTAATATGCTAGCTTCTATCACTATGAGTCGGGTCTGGCTGGACAGCACATAACAACAACAACATGTGTGTCATTATGCATTATAGTGCTTTGCCAGAAATAATGTGCTCCCTCTTCTGACTGGTTTCCCTTTGTTCTTCAGGATTCAGCTCTGAATCCTTTCCTTGACCCCGTCAAACCTCTGTGTTCTTAAAGAACCTTGTGCTTACCACTGTCTAGCACTGTTATTATTAGCTGCTGTCTGGTTAGCCTCTGGCTCATGGTAACCCCGTGCACAGTGGAACAAAATGCTGCCTGCTTCTGGACCATTCTTGTGATTTGTTGTAGATCAGACCATTGTGATTTATAGGATTTTCATAGGCTGATTGTGGGAAGTAGATTTCCAGCCCTTTCTTCCTGGTCCCTCTTACTCTGGAAGCTCTGCTGAAGCGTGTTCTGCATAATAGCAACACATAAACCTCCATGGACAGATGAGTAGTGGCTGTGCATAAGATGTGTTGGCTGGGAATTGAACCCATGTCTCCTGGATAGAAGGCAAGAATTCTGCCACTAACCTGTCTCCTGAACTAGAGAAGAAGTTTCTTGAGATCAGGGATAGTAATTTTTTCTAGCACCTCCTAGTATATTAGGTATTCAGACATTTATGGGACTATGCTATTGTGAGTTACTATACTCTCTTGCTGTTTTCTCTGGAGTGTTGTGGGTAGCCCTTTTAACTATTATTTATCTGGCCACCATCTAGATAATAAGCAGCCATTGCTTTAGGAAAGGTAATGATGCAGAAGGACTTCTGCTTTCTCACTGGCTTTTAGTGGACAGATGTTTGCAACATACAACGACTGTATGTATATCTTAAAGATAGTAACATGTACTTTGATTTCCTCATACAGTAAGTAACTCTGGGTGAGTTAAACAACCTGATGTCAAGGTTTAAGTATATTATTAGAGCCACAGAGGAGGAAATTCTGCCATGCGCTAGCCCCCATTACTGTGCCAGGTTCCCTAGAGAAGTAAAATAACAGTATTCTCAACCTCCATTACTCAAGATCTTTGAGGATGGATGAAAATGGAATTCATTAGAAGGAAAATAACTATCTTTACTCTTACTTGCATAATTTTGGTTGAGAGAATATTTACATGTGTTTGGGAGCATCATTTTATTTTGGCCAATGCTTGCATTTTTCATTTAGTGACTGTTGAAGTGTTTTCTCTAGGAGTTGTATTTGAGAGCTGGGAAGAAGGCATTTTGATTCAAAAAGATTCTAATTTCTCCAAGCTATTCTATTTAGGTAAATTTAAGTTGTCTGAATCAATGACGATGTAATAAGCATTTGTTTCCTTCTAGCTGGGAAGTGTTTTATGGGCTTACTCAGCCTCTTATTCCGTGAGTTTTCACACCCCCTCATGAAGTGGCATTCTTCTTGTGTTGTATCACACTATTACCTTTAAGGAATTCCTCTTTAGGTAACATATTCTTTTATTATTATTATTTTAAAGTTCTTTTGTAACATAATCTTGGGGCACTGAAGCTGATAATTGGAAATGAGTGGTCTTTTGCCTTTCCCTTTTCTCCTTGTACCTCTTGTTGAGTGCAGAAGGGAGCAGGATGCCCTGTCTAGAAGGCTGGAGAGAGTTTAGCTGTCAGCAGTTGGTGTTTTTGCCACAGGGTGACAGGCAGGGAAGACAATTCATTTCAGGTGGGGAGTGGGCACAGCTGTTGATCAGCCACGGAGGCTTTTAGCTGGATAAGGCTTACCCAGGCCAAGTAGTAGATTGCTGAATGCTCACTGATGGGCATGGAGTGGGCTATCACACCCACAGTACAAAATCCTAGCCCACCAAGTGTGTCCTTGAGATAGCTCATAACTCATCAGGAATCAAGTCCAGGCTTCCGTTGGCATTTTTTTTTTTTTTTTTTTTAAACAGTTTTTGAAGAATGAGTTGGAAAACCAAAACCCACTAACTTTTAGCTGGGTGAGTTTCTCAAATATAAAATATTTGGAATTACAGAATTATAGACTTTGTTGTTAGCTGCCCTCAAGTCAATCTGGACTCTTGATGATCTCATGTATAATGGGATCATATATTGTTTATAGGATTTTCATTGGCTTATTTTCAAAAGTAGACTGCCAGACATTTTTTCCTAGCTCTGTCTTAGTCTGGAAGCTCTGTTGAAACCTGTTCACCATCATATTAGCAATATGCAAGCCTCTACTGATAGATGATTGGTTGGCTGCACTTAAAGACTAGGGACCCGAATATTTGAATGAACCATATGAGTCTTTTTCAGCAGTGGAAACAAACTGTATTGTACAGTGCATTTTCTTCTCTTTCTTTTGATTGCTCTTTTACAGGCCCATTTAGAGTAGAACATTGATTCTTTTTTAAAAATTATTGCCTTCTTCTAGCAATGGTTCTTTATATTTTTCTTCACACTATTCCTGTGTGCCACACTCCCGTTGGAGACGTACCACTTCATAAATGCTGTGATTCTCAATGAGAGGAGAGTTGGATGTATTTTTCTGAGGAAGAGTGGATGCTGACAGGCCGCCATACTTTTTCTGATTTGAAAAAGGTCTATTTTATTGAGAATCATTGTTCTAGCACTAAGATCAGGGCCCTGAGAGGCATCAAGGTGATCAGTATTTTCAGTTGGGAAAGCTTATTATATTTGTTTAGAGAACTGCCCTGTGTTAATATAACTGTGAGATTATTATAAGTTCAGTGACTGGCTATTAAGTCTTGTGTCCACTGCTCAGTTTCCTAAATGCAGGATTCTCCTACTCAGTGATGGTGTGGAGGCCTGTTAGCACCAACTACCTGGAAGGAGTTGGCAAGGTGGGCTGGGATTGGTATAAACTGACTTCTCTGGCTGCATCTGGTTGTACCTGTCCTGAAAGGAGTTAGGTGAAGCTTAGAGGAAACCGCATTGAGTATGGAATTAGAAGCTTCCAGCTTGGGCAAGTCTCTGTTTAACCTTTTCTTTGCCTCAGTTTCCTAATGAGCAAAAGGGAGGGGTGTTTGGAGCAGCATTTTATGGTGTTTGTGGACCCTTCCTGTTCTAGGATTTTTGGGGTTTAAAGGAAGTCAGGTTCATCTGGGGACTAATGGAGGATTGGAGGTGGGTAGAGAAAACACTTGGATTATCAGTAGCATTTATTTTGTGCCTAGAACTCCAGATTATTTGGCTTTCAGGAGTATTTGAACAATATTTGCTGGAGAAACAGAATCATGCCTGGAGCAGTGTTAAGTTCACACATTCAGGCACAGGCAAACCTTCCTCCCCCACCACATGTAAAATATGAGTGCCTGTAGTGAGGAAGGATAGTGTTCATTGCCATGGGTTTTTTTCTGCAGTGGCTGACGCCAGTCAGCTAAAGAGACTCCTTCCTACAATAGTTGTAGTAATAATTCAGGAATATAGAGAGAAGCTTTGTACCTTTGAGAAGAGCTACTGATAACGTGACTGTCTCCCCCCTCCCCTCCCGTTTTTTAACCTGCTCTGTTAATGATTGCACCTAATTATGTATCTTTGGTATTTTTCCTGTGTACAATTCAAATGCTACTTAAAGGCATTTGTTTGCTTTTGTATGCTGTAAATCCTGGGCTGCCATCTGAAGCACAACTTGATGATTGTGTATTATCATCTTGGGTTAAGTGCTGTCTCATTGCTTTGCAGGCTGCCTGCTGTTTCCCGGGGAGATCATGAAACGAGGTCGCCTTCCCAGCAGCAGTGAGGATTCTGACGACAATGGCAGTAAGTCCTGCTTTGTTGTGCTTGGAGCCTACCGGGGTTTGGGTCAGTGTAAAAACATGATTTTTTAATGTAGTGCTTTAAATAGCCAAGGCCCTTTGCATATCAGGCAGGTCAGAGAAAGGCAAGGCCAGGAGAAACACATCTCAGTGTGAGATTGCAGGTCTGTAACCAGATATTTCCGGGGAAGGTTGACTGCAGGCAAGCATTCCTGAGGGTTCCTGTTATCCAGGGATGAACAGCCCAGTTCTAAGTCACTGGGGTACCTGTTTTTCCTAAATATCGTTTATGGTACTTCACAGTTGCTCTTCATGAAAAGGGAACTTAATCAAAGCCAGTTAATTATTAACTAGTTCAACTTGATACACACAGGTGGGGGGAGAGGGCTGCCTAGTGTGATATGGAAATATTAAGTACAGGTTTTTAATAGGTCACGAGTCAGTGCACTTGGCTTGATTTTAGCATGACTGTATTTATTACTACTGTCTGCATTTCAGTTCTCTGGCAACCTCATATTTTCACAGTGCAGCTGAGAACCAGAAGTTAGTTGGCTTCCAAGCAGTCAAAATAAATGTCACAGTGTCTATGTATTGAGAAGCTCACAGACTACTCAGAAAAACACTTCCCTTGGATAACAGAAGGGAATTTTGTACCTAGCACAATGTCTGAGCTCCAGCCCCTTAGCTTACATTACAAATCAAACTCAGGAAGCCTTGAATGAATGCTTATTGTACTATGGGATGGGAGAGGAACTGGGCTCCCTTTCAAGGACTGAGCTCAAAGAGAGTCATCAGAGTGGTAACAGAGGTGTCTTTGAAGCACCATGGAAGTGAATATGTAGGTGCAAATTCAGAGAAGAGGAAGGCCAGGGAAACTGCAGAGGGGATGAAGGTTAAGCTGGTCCTGGAGGATGAATAGTGTCTAGGTAAACAGGGATGTCTTTGGTATTCAGCAGTTTAAAAGCTTCATATTAGAAACTAAGACTCTGCTGCTTTAAGTGGGCCACATTGAAAGCATCAGAAAACATAGGAGGGGTCCAGAAACATGAAGAATTTAAACATGGTATTTTGGGTGATGCTTTGGATATAGGCCTAGAGCAGTGGGGAATAAAATGATGGTTAGGGGAGGGGAGTTGGGTGTAGAGGGCATGTGGCAAGATAAGCTGTGGCCAGATTGCGATGAGGACTTGGAATAAGGAGCTAAGAGATTGGACTTCTGGGGTAGCACTGGGAGTCGCTGATGCTGGATGTAGGAGAGGAGTGAACTGAGGGAAGGAGAGAGACACAGGAGTAGTGACTCCAGAGGGAAAAGTTTTCCTTTTATTTCAGGAGAGGCAAGAAGGGTCTGTGCCTGAGTGCAGGCCGTGCACACCACCTCCCGGAGTCTTCAGGAGCACCTTCTTCTGAACTTCTGTAGCACGTGCTGTTCCACAGCCCTGACTAGCTGCTTTCTCTAATGTTTACAGTTTTAGGCATTTTACTTTTTTTTTTTTTTTTTTTTTGGCATTTTACTTTTTGAGGCAAAAACATGCTTTGGTATTTCTTTTCTATCCCCTGTGGTGCCTATCAAATTGTCCTGTTGAATTATAAGCACTCAGTAAATAACTTGCCGCTTGCTTGAGTACAGCTTTGTCTTGGAGCAATCAAAAAGGAAAAAAAAACTTGCTGTTTAGGTTCAGAAATAATCAGAAGGGATTATGAATTACCTCCACATGTTAATAATGCCCAATAAAAGGCTAAAAGAACTGTCATTTACATATACATATACATATACATATACATACATATATATAGGAGCTCTGGTAGCATAGTGCCTAAGGCACTTGACTGCTAACCAGAAGGCTGGCGGTTCAAACCCACCAGCCACTCCTCGGAAGGAAGGTTGGGCAATCCTACTTCCATAGTGACACTGCCTCGGAAACCCAAGGAGGGGTCGCTGTGAGTTGGGGCTGACTTGACGGTAAATAACAACAACAACAACATATATATATGTATGTATGTATGTATGTATGTATGTTACTGAGCAACAGGTTGATGCTTATTCCTTTTTCTTTCCTCATGGCCTCATTTTTCCATTAAGAGAGAGTTGAGTGAGAAAAGGTTCTCTTGGAATGTTCTTTCTCACTTTCAACTTTCAGGGCCGGCACTGTGCATGTGATAGGACAGAAATGTTCTGTATCTGCTAGTGTGACTGAGGAAATGAATTTTTAATTTAATTAATTTACCACATGTGGCTATTACCTACTGTATTGGACAATGCAGTTCCTGGACCTTGGCCAGTCTAGTCCCCCTTTGCTGTTCAGAGGGTCCTAGTAGTCCCAGAGGCCCCAGAAAACCAAATGATTCATCCAAAAACATATTTCTACTCAGAACTCTGGTTAGAAAGGAGGGAGGAAGAGAGTGTCTAAAGTCCCCACCAAATGTGTATCCACGAAAAGTTGCCTCATCTGCCACCTTCTGTTCTGTGATGGATCATTTTCATCATCCTCCTAATACATTACTGTCTGTGCGCACCTCCCTGAGAAAACTGGAGGTGAATGTTAAAGTAAATATTTATTGGATGCTGGAAAATTAACCTTGATGACCATCAAGCTTGACTTCATCATAATCCTCATCTTGACATGATTTCTAGACATGGTAGGCTGTCCTTGGTCATGCAGCTGGTTCAGTATAAAGCGTACGTTGTTGCTTGATGGTGGTGTTCTGTCAGTCTAAGCTTAATGATTTGTTAATTATGGTGGGTAAATAGATCTCATTAAGCGCCCCTGGGATCTCAGGCTTTATAAAAGTATACATGTATCCATGTCATGAATACAACTCTTTCCACCTTCTCTGATAGCCACTGGTTTGCAGTATGGGCCTCTTCTGCCAACCTGCCTATTTGAATTGGGGTTAGTGTTTTTGTATAGGCCCATGGTGATCTGGGAATGAGGTGGGGGGTTTTCTGCCCCTGCAGTCACATCCACAGGAGTGAACCCTACTTTAGGAAGCTTGCCACATCCTGTCCTTCATGTCAGTTCTGGGACTCAGAAAGCCCTGTTTGCAAGGAATGGGTGTGTGCAGTGGCCACTTCCCAGCCTCTCTTGCTTGTACCTGTGACAGAATTTTGGCAGCAGCTCCCTGCCCAACACAGCACCTCCAAGTGGAGGAGAGGCAGCTGCAGATGTCAGCATGGGGCCACAGCACCAGCCTTAGCTGGACCAGCTTGCCTCTGGGTCTGGAGCCCTTTGCTTTGTTTTCTGGCCTTGTTCAGGGGAATACCAGTGTGGTATTTACAGTAGGGGACAGGACAAGCGTTTTCGGTGCCAGGTGTAAGCCCTTACCAAGCTGCAGTCATAGTGGTTGAAGCCTCTTTCCAGGTGTCCTGAGAGTCGGCCTTGCATTGGATTGTGTCGCCTTTAGGGTGATTGCAGGCTGTGCTCTGTAATTGCTGAGCTTCTGGGACGGGTTGCCCAGCCAGTCTCTGAAGTTATACTGCCAGGGTGTGGCTTGGGGAAACAAGGCCTTAATTTCCTGCTTTCCAGCCCAAGATTCTCCCTCTGCCTTGAGGGGTTTTGGCAAATGTGAAAATGGGGTCCGCAGTCAGTATTACCAAAACCTAAAGGAAGTTGCATTTCATCATCATCAAAGGTGCAGAGGCTAGTTAAAGCATCAAGTTGTCCTTGTTTTTGGCAGGAATTGTGTACTATTGGTAATCTCAGGCCAATTAGTAGCTCTGATCAGTGTTCTTGTATTTTTCTCCTGTAAAAATAAGAACAAGAATCAAATATACTTAATGAATACTGTTCAGTTGGCAAATTTTTTCCCCCAGAAAATACAGGAATTTGGGCTAGGGCAGGGTGGAGAAGGAAAGGGAATGCATTGTGAAGGTTGATTGTGTTTATTTTGCCTGTTTTTAAATGTGGTGTCTCTCGATTCAGAGGAAATTGGTTCCTTTAATTTCCACAAGGAATGGTAGCAGTGTGCTGATACTTTAATATTAGTTTCCCTAAAGTTGTGAAGGTGGAGTTCCTTTTCCTGTCTCCTTTGCTAAATTTCAGGTCTGTGTTGACCCTTCTGTGGGGAGAAGGTCTGGGCTGTGGCTGGAGGGGATGGAGCCTAGTATTGTGTGGGGCCTTCTCTGAGCTCTCTGTTTCCATACCTATGCTGGGCTTGGGAATACTACCATCTTCTCAGCTATCAGCTGGGCTCTGCTCCATCACCTGTGATGACATATGAGTAGAGAAGGGCATGGAGTGAAATTCAAACTTCCTAATTTTACAGCTTGGTAATTAATGTAGGTCAGTGAGTAGCAGACTTGAAGTTTGTGGATTGTAAGAGGATTCTTGCTTTTCTGGGGTCTCTTTGGCATTATTAACAGACAAATTATGAAAAGAAACCAATGTTTTTTTAGTGGCTGTAACAGTCGTTCTGCTTTGGACCCCTTTATGTCTCACCGCGTTTACTGGATCCCCTTACGCTTTTTTGGGCAACTTGCTTTCCTTCTCTTATGTCCCTCTGCAGTACTCTATTTTCTTCATGCAGGCCTTTGGTGGTTTCTCTTCCACATAAAAGTTATCCCAGCCCCTAATTCTATTCATATTTGGCTCCACCTTTAATTTGCCCCTCTTGCTCAATCAGTTGCATTTTATGACACCAAGGAGTATGGAGAAATTCATAAACTATGGGAATTTATGTTCAAACACTACAGAACGTGTAGTGTCAAAGACACATGACAAAGACACAGAGATGGGTCTGCCTATAAGCACACCTGGCTGTGGTTTTGCTTTGACATTGGCAGGCAGAGCATCTTCTGGGGCTCAGGAGTGAGCAGCATGAACTGATGTTATCCTTAGGCTAGTCTTCTTCTGTGTCCCTTGGACTTGAACCTCAGCAGGACTAATGGGTGACAATGAAATGGTTGCATGTCAGTTGAAGGCCCAAACAAACAGAGAAAAATCCAAACCCATTGTCATTGGAGTGGAGTTCTGACTTACAGTAACCCTATAAGACAGAGTAGAACTG